ACCGACATATTGGCCGACTTCACAACGTAAATCCCCAGACCTACTAGACTTTTTTATAACCAAAGGACTGCGCACCATACCTTACACCATAAATACGAGCTCTGATCTTTGCTCTGACCATTCCCTTATACATTTGGTTATCCTTGATGAGCCCATCAATCTTCCACGAACACCTAAGCTCCTTAATGGTAAAATGGATTGGGATGCTTACAGGGAAATTCTGGATTCAGAACTTTCAATCCCTGGCTCCATTAAAACAGCAGATGAACTAGAAGAGGCAGTGGACAAATTTACAAAAAGTGTCCAAAAAGCAGCTTGGTCTTCATCGCTACCAAGGTCATCAAGAGCAGAACACTTGCCAAGATATCCTCAATATATAAGGGACTTGATCACGGCAAAGAGGAGAGCACGTAAGGTATGGCAGACTAACAGACTTCCCTCAGATAGACGGACATTTAACAGACTAAATAACGAACTTAAACGACTAATACAAAAATTCAACAGAACGAATTATGATGCTTATTTGAGCAGCATATCAACTGACGATGGAAGTTTGTGGAAGCATACCAAAAATTTGTTAAAACATCGAGAGGTGTCAGTACCCCTGCGAAACGAAGACGGTTCATGGGCTTTGTCGGATAGAGAAAAATCTGAACTATTTGCAGACCATCTTTCATCAGTATTTACACCATTTACCGACTTCACGAACACAGAACATGAAACCTTAGTATTTGATACTCTAGACATACCATTACAGATGACACCTCCCCCTCTTCCTTTCACTCCTTCACAAGTCGCACAACAAATCAGATATCTCCCAAAAAGAAAAGCTCCAGGTTATGACTTAATAACTGCCGAGGGTCTCCAGCAAATGCCTAGGAAAGCTCTAGTGTTCCTTACGACAATATACAACTGTATTCTGAGGACAACTAACTTCCCATTACAATGGAAATACTCACATATCAAGATGATACACAAAAGGGACAAAGACATTTTCAATCCCTCATCCTACCGACCTATCAGTCTCCTTCCGATATGCTCCAAAGTTTTCGAAAAATTAATATACAAAAGACTGGTTGACATACTGACAGACCAACAAATAATACCTGACCATCAATTCGGTTTTCGTACATTTCATTCAACTACACACCAATTACACAGAGTTACTGACTACATTGCTGGAGCGCTAGAGCAAAAACAATATGCTACCGGCGTATTTCTGGATGTTGCCCAGGCATTTGATAAAGTCTGGCACCAGGGACTTCTCTTCAAACTCAAAACTATACTGCCTAATACATATTATCTCATTCTCCAATCTTTCCTTTTCGACAGATTCTTCTCTGTCCGACAGGGTTTAGAAATTTCCTCAATTCGACCAGTATCAGCAGGGGTACCTCAAGGATCAATATTGGCACCTTTACTCTACATTGTCTATACTCATGACATGCCTACCAACTCTGAAACATTGACTGCTACTTACGCTGACGATACAACAATTTTAACAAAACACCATGACCCCAGACTAGCCTCATTAAATTTACAAAATCATTTACTAAATTTACAAAATTGGTATTCACTCTGGAAAATTAGATTAAATCATAACAAATCACAACACATAACATTTACGCTTCGACGAGAAACATGCCCACCAGTTTATATCAGCAACAATCCAATTCCTCAGACGGACAGTATACGCTACCTCGGACTAATATTTGACAGAAGGATGACCTGGGGCCCACACGTCAAAATGAAAAGAAAGAGTTTGAACAAGCGACTGAAAATACTGTACTCACTGTTTTCTAAATCAAAATTGAAAATTAGACAAAAACTAAATACATACACTTACCTGCTCAAACCCATTTGGACATACGCCTCACAGATTTACGGTTCAGCAAAAAAGACTCACTTACAAAAACTACAATCCTTTCAATCTAAAATTTTGAGACTAATAACTGCAGCTCCCTGGTACGTCAACAATAAGACTTTACATACCGACCTAAGACAACCAACCATTGACCAGCACATACGTACTCTTTACTCCCGATTTCATCTAAAACTACACGGACATCACAATGGACTTATCAAAAACATGGCCACGGCTGAAATGCTCATCAGGAGGCGACTGAAAAGGAGCTGGATGAGAGATCTCCTTTCCTGATTTTAGGATGTAAACAGGCCAGGGAAGAGGTGCTGCTGGGCTCCATTCTTCGTCATGCCTATCATGTCATTTTCAATTTAAACAGCAAATCTGCTAATTGTCACTACCATGACAGGTGCGGATGAAGATGTAAAGACAAAAAAAAAAAAAAAAGAAAAAAAAATTAAGGAAATAAGGAAAGGAAAATTCAAATAAAAAAAGGAACTTATTAAACAAAAATTATGTTCTAAATAAAATTACGTAAACATTGATAAATGAATTGATTTAATTAGGAAGAAAAGGGGAGAAATGGAAAATATATGACCTGAGTTTTTGTTCTTATTTTATTTTAGACCCACTGCCGTTTAGGCTACAACTGCGTTAATAATGATCTTAATTAAGAAAACAGATTGTTTTTGAGACAAACAATCTGTTATTAACATTCGTGGTGCTATTCAAAAATGTCCCCTATATTTACGTTTCTCGGATTCTCTCGTGTACGTACGCCTGGTAACGGACACTTTTTCATGACCACGGGCTTCTTTATAAAAACTATGAATGGACTGGGACTCCACTTCTCACTACAATCATTGCTCATTCAACTGTAGACAGCTGATTGACCAGCGATCAGTGACAGCTATCGAGCGCGGGAGGAGGGGGCTCACAGATAGCGCTAGGCTCGGTTACGCTCGGCAGTTTCCGCTCACCCGCCGCTCGCTCAGGTTGTAGAACGGTTGTGTAGGTGGCGTTACGTTTCTATTGTTGGTGTCTTCATGTTCTAGCCGGATGAGACCAGCCAAAGGTTTGTATTGTTGGTCCACTTGGGGAGGGAACAAATGGGTTACTCAAAAATTTACTATAAAAGGACTGTGGATTGCAACCTGTTTTTTTTTCATTTTAGAAAACGTGTTCATGTATATATACGATGTTACTTATTTCATTTTCATTATTGGCATCGTATTAATACTATGAATATCTGACTTCAATTCCGATCACTTTTTCAAAAAAGTTTACTAAATAAAATAAACAAAAATTTAACTGTAGACTTTTTATTTAGCTGCATAAAGCTATTTTTTTAGAATTGGCGTCATTTTATGACATATATAACATGATTAAAAGATAAAAATTGTCTAAAGTAATACTTGAAAGAAGTCAGCTGTTTCATGACAGCTCTCACCAGGATGACAGTTCTGCCAAGATAAGGTCTTCCCTGTAGAAGATTGGTTTGCTGTCAAAAAAAGGGGTCAATGTATCTAGTTTATTTCTTATTGTATGATTCCATCTATAAGTAAAATGATAATTTTTCTAATATGATAGCACAGCCAAGTAAACCGGCACGTTTTATCTAATAAATTACTTTAAATTAAATAAAATTACATTGTCATACAACGTAGAAAACGTCATTAAGTAACATTTCACAAAATTGAAAGCCTGAGTCATTTTAAGATTTTTTCTTTAATTAAATCAAAACATTCCACACCTATTGTAACTTTTTTTTTTTCATATAACATTTTGTATGTTATTACTGTATCTTTGCATTGATAAAAAAGATCGGAAATTACAAAAATGTTCTAAAAATTATAGCATTATGAAAAATGTATTTATGTGACCTTACTATTACTAACGTAATAAACGCACGATTTTACAAAGTAAAATGATATATCATTCGTGCTTGTGGTAGCGAATTTAAGAACTGTCGATATAAAAAATTTGTTAATAATCTTTTTTTCATAAAAACTTAGTCAAAACTTCGTTTATTGGAGTCGTTTTAAGCAAAAAAAATTTTTTCTATAACTATTAGGGACAATAAAAATATAATAAAATTCTAAAAAATGTTTCAGGAAAAAATTTGAAAATTCTTAATTATCGATTCTTTTTCGGAACTTTGAAATAATCCTTATCTGAATCGACCCGCTTGAAAATATATGGTTTTTCAAAATATGATAATACAACAGGTTGTTGCTAATATGTGTATGAAAAACTGTTTAGCGTTGTTGTTTGCAATTTATTAAAGAAAACGAAAATTTTAATTCATTGTAAATTCATAGAATCACAATTTTAATTTTTTTAAACTAGCTAGTCTTTGGGTCAAATTTTTTCGAACTTAAACAGCTATTGTGGAAAATAATAACAATATTAATAATTGTAAAATTTTAACTTAGAATTAAAGTTTTTTTTCTTTACATTGAATAATGTTTGATAGAGTAAACCTGACTTTCAAGGCAAGGTATATATGTTATATTATAACCTCTTGTGGTGACACTTAATGTTACTAAAAGAAGTTGAGTTCCTGAAGAAGTAAATTGAAAATTTTGATTGGATCTCTGGGCGTGGTCGATCTCGTAAGTACATTAAAGGTCTAATCCCCTGTTTATTCATAGGTATTTTTTTTGGAATTGCTTATGAATCCTATTTTTTGTTTCTTTTAATACTTTTGTACTTATGATTTCTGCACTACCAATTCGGTTAGATGCAGTGAGTGAATTTTGTTGCCGTTGTCTATTTCAAAACTGTATAACAACCAAAATATCAAAACTTGTAGACAAAGTATAATTTCTTATTATTTCTATTTTTTTTTATTGGTAGAATTTTAACCATAAATTTTTAACATACCTGAATTATGTTTTGATTCGTACTATACTTGACAAGTCTAATTATACCAACAATTATATATTACTTCCATATGGTAGAGATGTTTAAAAGCCTGTTTCGTTATTTTTAGAGATAACAATCAACATCATTAATATTCTGAATGGCTTGTTGCTATTTATAGGGTCTTATTCATACTGCATTTGCTATTTACACTCCGACATCTGATTTTATTGGAATGGTCGCCTAACCTTGTCCGACGCAATCAACAGGTCTATTGGCCTAATGGTATGGCTTTATTAAATTTATTCATTGTTTTGACATACTAACCACTATATTGTGGATGATCCAATTAAAATATAATTACTATAATTTGTTTATATTGTAAGAAGTACCTGCTTGTGTCCCGTTTTTTTAATAATTTTTTTTCTTAAATTACTGCTTAATACAAGTTTACTTTGATGAAAGGTAATAAATCTGTTGTAATTTAGGTTCATGCATGGTTAAAACTAATAAAGAAGGAGAAAAAATGGTTACTGTGAGAAAAAAGTGAACGGGTTCCCTTGAAAACAACATGCGTGGAATTCGCTTATTATTATTTTTAAATATTATATTACATTGTAATTTGAGAAGCGCTGTTAAAATAAGAAAATGAAACTTTAGTTTTTATTGTTTTCATTTAGTAATATTTTAATTTAATTTATCGATTTAGATCCTATATTTATTATTATATTACTTTTTTATTCTAATTATTATGAGTTAACTGTTTTTTACAAATTTTATATAATATTATAGTTAATTAAATTAGATTTCAAAGAAGATGAAGACAGATAAAACGTGAGAGGTAAAAAAAAAAAAAAAAGAATTATAGATAATGGGATGAAACCTTCATAAAATTAGTGAATCAATAAAGAAAAAATCTGGTGCGCGCAACACACAACTTTCACTTACCGATCTACTTTGAATAGAAATTATTTTCTGGCAATGCTGGGCTACTATAAAATTTTTTGAAGTACATTTTAAACGGATCTAAAGCTTAAAGCTTACAGGTAACAAGTCATTAAGACCTTTATAATTACAAAATGTCTATTTAATATATCGACAACAGGCAATAAAAATCTGTCATGCAAATCTGACAGGCAGTCCATCTGCTTTTATAAACCACACAACATTATTTGCTTTTATAAACCACAGAATGACTAACTCCAATTTCAACATTTTTGAGTGATGTCATTTTAGTGATATTTTTAGTTGAAAAAGTTATCTATGCAGACAATGAGTAAGTGGATTCCAGAGGTGGTGATTGCAGTGCTGAAATATAGAACTGAGAATAAAGGTAAAAATTTAGGTACTTATTTCTTATGAAAGATGTTCTTAGGAAAAACACTTTATTAAATGTCTGTAGAAAAAAGTTTTTTTTAGTCTCAACAAAAAAAAATATAAAAAAATATATTTTTGATTTATCCAAATTTTCGCCTCTTCAGGGAAAAAAACTTTCCTCCTAATTGTTCGATTTTTTTTTTTTAGGAAATTCCATAAACTTTTAAAAAACCATTCACAATATCCCCCCAAAATCGTATACTTTTTGAGTTATTCGGAATTTAATTTTACCATCCCTCGTAACTTTTTTTCCAGCTTCTTTTCGTATCTTGAAGTCTGTTATATAGATAAATTTAAATGGTGTCGAGAAAATGACTTTAGCGAAGTTTCATTGAAATCGGTACATTCGTTTAGGCGCTACAGTCTATAGCAACGCAGGTTTTTCTGCATTTTTATTTTTTTTCTCCTTTATTAACTTATCAAATTCTTTCAAAAGTTAAATATAGAATTTTTTCGTAACTCTGAATAATGCGGAATGGTTAACTTTTTAAAATAAACCATATTAAAGGTACTTTAGAGGAAGACATGTATAAACATTGGTTATTTAAGCCCTGTAAAGTGACATTAACGGGGATAAGACCTAAATGATATTAAAGGCCACTTAATTATACAATGATTCACCGAGTTTGATCAAAATCGTTAGAGCTTTTTTTGAGAAAATTCCGGTTAGCCGATTTTAACGAAAAAGTTGTTGTCACATCCGGCCTATATACAAGCCTTAAATACTTAATATCAGTTTCGTACTACTTTTCGTTTATGAGCCTGACTGTTAACACACACACACACACAGACACACACATACCATTTTGCGACACTTGGTTATTTGAACTCAGGGGACCTCAAAACATGTATTTCCGTTGAAAACTGACCTTCGAAAATTTTCACGATCGCAATACTTGCTTGCCCTTACTATATATTACATATATACGTAAGTGAAAGTAAAAAGTACCTAAAATATTAATAAACATATTATTTGGTTTGATTAATATTTTTGTATTTGTAGACCAAGTACAAAAAAGAACTTTTTCTGTTATATGTTTAACTCTAAACAAAAGTTTCAAAGCTTCCAACTGGTTCGTTCAAAGAACGCAAAACATTTCCAGAATATTACTTTCTAGAGTATTGAAAATGTATTTCACTTCAAAACTTTTTCTCAATTTCTTGCCGAAATTAAGAAAACAAAAATAATAAAATAAGAACTTTATTTTTTATGTATAACTAGAATATGTTGTACTGTGTGTTTTTTTTTTTGTACGTAAAATCATTAATAGTTGTATTTCATATACATATACATAACTACAATTAGACTTATTGGGACTTACGGAGTTTAAATCTGGGGCTTCACAAAGCCATTGGATTCCTCAAAATAAAAAATCCTTCGCAAAACCTTCGCAAATTTGTCACTAATAATAAAATCATCCATAACGACCTTAATGTTCCTTAAATAAAGTATTATTGTTATGTTTTCGATTTGGCCCAATCTGGATACATATCCTTCCATAATAAACTTCAGAACCTCCCGAATCCTCTGGTTCTGGTACAACTTCTTTTTTTTTAGAGTTCTACGACTGAGTAATTTCTCAACAAGTGTTTTCAGGTTAATATTTTTTATTTTATTTTTATTTATTTATTTATTTTATTTATTTTTTTATTTATTTATTTTATTTATTTATTTATTTATATTTATATTTATATTTTTTTATTTTTTTTTTATTTATTTATTTTTTATTTATTTTTTTAATATTTATTTTATTAATAATTATTCTTATTTATTAATAAGAAACGTAAATTTTCACTCAATAAAGAATGAAACTTCACAAAATAAAAAAATATTTGTATATATATATATATATATATATATATATATATATATTATATATATATATATATATATATATATATATATATATATATGATATATATATATATATATATATACAAATATTTTTATTTTGTGAAGTTTCATTCTTTATTGAGTGAAAATTTACGTTTCTTATACTAGAACATACAATCTTAATAACATTGTAGGTATAACCTGAAATCCTAAATTTCGAAATTTATGTATTTTGGATAAACATATTTGGTGGGATTTCACGAGCTCTTTTATGTTGTTAAATAGGAAGTTTTATTATTTTATATTAATATATGAATGCTCACGAATGTGCACATAAATTCATCATATCCAATACTCATGATGATTATTATTATTATTATTGCACTAAAATAAGGATTTAAAACAAAAAATTTTCATGAACCCATTATTGAAACCACAGAGTTTACTCTCAGTAACATAGTACTACAATTTAAACTAAATCAAATAAGACGTATAATCTTCTGCATTTATATTTTTTAAAATTGTATAATCTAAAATAATGGAAATTGGAAAAAGTGCCAGTATTATCTATGGAGGCTCTTGTCTACATTTAATATTGACAAACACAACTAGAAACGTATGTCAGACTAAACAAGACTTACTGAATTATTTTCATGTAATTACAACTAATAATGAAACTCCATATTTGATCCATGAGTATTACTTCATTTTTTCATTCCTTTTTTCATTCATCAAGATACATTCATCCCTTGGCCATATTTAAGCGGAGAAAAGTCTTATTCTAAAATAAAAACATTTGGGATGATTTGCTTTTATCACATTTATTATACAGTAATAATCTGATAAGAATATTGTATAAAATATTTGATATTATACAATTCTCTAATCAGTATTATAAGATGTTGCAAAATTAACCTGAATGTTTTTAATTTTACAATAAGGTTGATTTTCTCCCTTGAAGGGCTGAAACATTGGTCAATAAAAAAGTAAAGTGAGACTCATATTACACTACATTAAAAACAAATCTCACTATACAAGATATGTATCGAAGTAATGACAACTCCAGACATCTTATCTTAAACATCATGAATTATTATATGTCTTTAGTCGCAATATTGAATAAATTGGAAGTTATGACTGGATCTATGTATATTCCACTTTATCAATGATTTTTTTTCGCTCATTTGGTTTTAATTCGGCTACCTAGTCTCAAATTTTATTTAATTTGCTTGGCTGTCATGTGTAATATTTTTTCATCCACACATACTCTGAACAATGTTATTTTGTAACCAACGCCACTGCCGCACATTTCCTTTTCGCATTATTCAACTAATTTGTAATTCAAACCGATTTTCTTTTTCCTTGGCCACTCATTGCATATTCATCTTAGCTGTTCTTGTGACTTTAAAAAGCTAAATAGAGAATTATTAAGACATAGAGATGCAAATGCTAATCGAAGGAGATACTTTAAGGTTACACCAATCATTCAAGTTATTCAAGAATTTGCCACCATTTCCATTTTTGTTCTTAAATAATTTAATAACAAGGAAAAAACATTTAGTAGCTCGAAATTTGCTCCTCTTAGTAAATATAAAAATGTGAATGTGTATTTCATATGGATGCACACGAATGTGCATATAAATTCATCATAATTTACCTGCCTGATACTGAATTATAACCTAACATTATAGTAGATGAATAATTTTTTTGTGTGTGTTCATGCTGTAGGAAAATCCCATTGTCAATCAAAATAATAAAAAATTGAATTCTAGTCTAAGCACATTAGGATTTCTTAGTAAATTTTCTGTTCCAATTACCTAAGTGCTTCCACTTTCCCACCTTCTTTTCTTCGATGGCGCTTCTCTGATCTGTTAGTTTTTTCTGTTCTTTGATGAAGAATACCAAAATTACCTCTTATTTCGTTTTTTAACTTCATCACAAACCTTTAAACTAAATTCATATAATAATATTTGACTTTATATTACTTAACTGAGAAGTCCAAAGCACGGCGAATCTACGGGGGGAAGAGGGGTATTAGGGCTGAAGTCCCCGCCAAAATGGTAAAATATAACCATGTTTTATGAAAAAAAAAATTTTTGAAATGTGAATGTCAATATAAATATTGATTCTATAGCACATAACTGAATCAAAAATGATGTTATTTTTCGCATTAAATTAATTTATTTAAATATAAATTCTTCTACCGTCTTTAGTAAAATTAATTTTCTATTTGTCCTGTCCTTCTTCGTCCTTCTCAGTTTTTTTTCCAGAAATTTCCATTTGACCAATTCTGCTTTCCATTCGCCCTCAGATCGGATTCAGCGAAATGCTAATTTATTTGTATCCATAGAATTGTTTGACA